ACCACCTGTGAGATAACCAGATTTAGGTGGGCCTTGATTCATAAGAATTGGGGCCCCTCAGTGTTATGGGTCACACAGGCTAGGCGTTTGGCCTGTAAGCTCACACAGTTTCTTAGCAGCAATAAGGCATGAGCAAATGGTTGGAATTTTGATACTGAGATTCTTCAAAGAACTGCGTGCCTGGAGGGATTTCAGATTGTCTACCTTGGTTGTTTGCTCTGCTCCCCTTGGCCCTACAGCAAATGCCTTGATGATGTAAATGTTAGCTTGTTTGTTACTGATGTTTAGCAAACCATAGGCGCATAAAGGAAAGTACACTGCAGAGTTATTGCAGGAATCTTGCTTTTCTCTAAGGAAGATTTCTTATGTGCTATTCCAGAAAGGAAAGAGTATTAGGAACAAGAGGAATCATTAGGGGAATGTTTTTCTGAATTGTCTTGGGATTCAGATGCAGAAATAACTTACAGGGAAGGCTGGATTGAGGGCCCCAGTTTCCTTTAGGGTCAGTGCTGGGGCTCCGAGGTTTGTTTTTAGGTTAGAGTTTGGCATGGCAGCAGGAGTGTGGACACATGGTGCTTTTCGGTTTCTGGTGAGAATGGGGAGTTCTATGCAAGACTCACATCTCATTCTGGGGAGAGTTAGCAACTGTTTCATAAATCTTTCATGAAAGTTGCAGGTTACTAAGGCTTTTGCCTTGGTTCTGGGTGTGTGTTGCGGTGGGGGGATAAAAGGGAGAACTGTTTGAATAAATTCTAGTGCAGTTGTTTGCAAGACTAGCTATCCAGTGGGGGGGGGGGAGGGGTGTGGCAAACAGGTTATTTTCTGAAGGAGAGGAGGGGGAGCACCGAGATCTGCTGAGGAGTTCACCTTCCATGGGAGACTGGACAGAAGGTCATTGGAAATGCTACAGTTACTGTCTGACCCCAGGCTCAGACATGCCAGCTGCAGGTGGAGCCCGCAGGCAAGCTGAACTTCTGCCCAGCCAACTACAAATTCAGGAGTAACCATGACTGACATGATTTGATCATTCACTCGAAGGACTCCCAGATCTGAGGAAATCTCTACACATTCTTTGTATCTTCAAGTGTTGCAGGAATTTTGACTCCGAGTATGGCAGCAACCTCAAATTCTTGTCTCGCAGGAAAGAAGAATTTTCATGCGGACACAGTTTAGTTTTAAAGTAAGATTTATTAGAAAAGTTGAGAAGAGAAGACTCCCGTCCTAGCGACGGGAGGGGGTTTGAGATAGAAAAGACCCTTACCTCCTGCCATAGTGGCAGGAGGAAAAGGACCTCAGTGCTCTGCCATAGTGGCAGGAAAATAAGAACCCTAGTCCTCTGCCATAGTGGCAGGAGGCAAAGAAGAAAAACCCGTATTAATGGTGGGGAATGCACCTTTTAAAGGTTTCCCTCAAAGATGTTTCTCCATGAACAAAGAAAATTCCTAGTTTCCATGGTACCTGGCCTTGGGACAAAAGGCCACAGAGGTGCCAGACATAGGACATTCCAGGCCTTGGGCAGATGTGTATTACTTCTTCCTGCTCTCCTTTCAATGATAAAGAGATCGGCCTGAGACCCTCCCACAGTGGCCGGAGGTAATGGCCGATACTTCTGGTGGGGAATTGATATGCTAATAGCACCCCTGTCCCTGGGAGAGTGAGTTCAAGACATGGTGGGAAAATTCTCTTTTACTCAAGGACCCAGAATACCCTAACTGCCTACTACCCACTCTAACTCCTCTCTCACAAGGAGACAACTCCGAACCATGCAAGAGCTGCCCAGGACCAGGTAAGGGAGGACGTGGAGCTTCCCTGCCGTCTCTGTACCTCATCCCTACCCCTACCCCGACCTCTGCACCTCCATAGGCTTGCCAACTTGGAACACCGATTGTTCTGGAAGTCTGAGTTATGTGGGGATGTTGCAGGATTTTTGACTCCGAGTATGGCAGCAACCTCAAATTCTTGTCTCGCAGGAAAGAAGAATTTTCATGCGGACACAGTTTAGTTTTAAAGCAAGATTTATTAGAAAGGCTGAGAAGAGAAGACTCCCGTCCTAGCGACGGGAGGGGGTTTTGAGATAGAAAAGACCCTCACCCCCTGCCATAGTGGCAGGAGGAAAAGTAAAAAGACCCTAGTCCTCCATAGTGGCAGGAGGACAAGAAGCCAAACCCTCTGCCATAGCGGCAGGAAGAGAAGAAGAACCCCAATCAATGGTGGGGAATGCAGCTTTTAAAGGTTTCCCTCAAAGATGTTTCTCCATGAACAAAGAAAATTCCTGGTTTCCATGGTACCTGGCCTTGGGACAAAAGGCCACAGAGGTGCCAGACATGGGACATTCCAGGCCTTAGGCAGATGTGTATTACTTCTTCCTGCTCTCCTTTCAATGATAAAGATATCAGCTTGAGACCCTCCCACAATGACCAGAGGTGATGGCCAATACTTCAGGTGGGGAATTGATATGCTAATAGCACCCCTTGGAAGAGACGTACTCTGGTGAATCCAAAACATGGTGGGGAAATTCTCTTTTACTCGGGGACCCAGAATACCCTAACTGCCTACTACCCACTCTAACTCCTCTCTCAGGGAGGCTCAGTTGGCTTTGTTTCTTGGTGAAGAAAGCATTCTCTTCCCAATCCTTATTGCCCAACAGTGAAGCTTGAAATAGCCCATTCTCTGGCATGGGAATAAATCCCAGCTCCCTGGCTTCTCCCAGCGTCTGTCCCTCCATGTGACAAGTGGAACTGGATGACTGGAGCTTGCTGCTTCTCACTCTTCTCCTTAGGGCTGGGGGTGTCCCAGGTAGCTAAGCTGCTTCCTTGCTCCTCACTCCTAGGTCAGAGCACAGGGTCTGGTTGTCGTCATTGTTGGAGTAGCAGCAGCGTCTTCCTCACCAAAGGACTTGGTGGAGATGCCAGTGAGAAGCCTGGAGGCTCAGGGAGTGGAGGATTCTTTATTTACTTGGAGATGGCAAGGGCGTCTGGCTTCAGCAGCTTCCGCATTGTTATAGTGAAAATAAGTTTCACAACATTTAATTTGGAAGGCAGAACAACAGAAGTGGGAGATAGGGATGGATCTTTCAGTCCACTGGTTCACCCTGCAGATGGTCACCCCAAGGCCAAGAACTGCATCTGGGCCTTTCACGTGGGTGGCAGCGACTCGGGTCCCTCAACCCTGACCTACTGCCTCCCGAGGCTTGTGTTAGCAAGGAGTTGGAGCTCAGGCAGATGAGCGACTGCCCCAGCACAGCTGCTGGCAGGTGCCCCAGGCAGCAAACTCACCTTTCCTGCAGACACTGTGAAACCTCTCCCATCTCTGGCTGCCTTGTAAAAGTCACCTCGCACCCCTCTGAGAACTGCCGGTCTCACCTGACCACTCAAGTGGAGCTGGTTGATGGAAAGTTCTTGGGGCTGGCGGACCTGCCCTGGAGGTGGAATTGGAGTGAGGGGGGTGTCAACCAGGACTCGGCCCTTCCACTTTCTGACGTGCGGCTCCTCTTCCTCTCCCCCCCCACTCAAGCCTCATTTTTTTTTTTTAACAAAAAACAACAAACTCCACACTTAAAATCTTTATTTTTCATAAATGACTTTTCTTTATCATTTCTCTTGACAGTAATTCTTAGTAATGTCATGTAACATGGAGGCAAGCATAACTCTGAGAAGTCATGGAAGATAGTATCCTAGTGTCTTCATTTTCTGAAACCATTAAAATAATCTCCATTTATAAAAATTAATCCAAATATAAATATTGACACTAAAGATCAAAATCACTTGATGACAAAATAATTTTTCTGGAGCTATAACATATGTTTATGGTTTCTAATAGTAAATTAAATCTTTACACTTATTTGGCACAAGGAAATCTTTATAAAAATTCAAATGCCATAGAGCAGGCTTTTTTTTTTTTGCAAGGCTTACACAGTACACATTTCTTTGTCAAAACTGAATATTTTAACACAACAAGAGCTGCTTTTCATGCCTCTTAAGGAAAACATTCTATTTGGAAGTCAGATCTTTTTTTGTTGTGTTTTTAAAATCTCTTTTTGCTTTGAATCACACCAGCAGAACAAAAAAGATTTACTTATTTCCGAGGAGTCATTTCTGTTGGCTAACACCTACACAGCATCAGCAGGGGGTATTACTGCAAGGTACACGGACCCCATCTGAGATGAGCACAACGTACAAACTGGCAGCAAAGCAGGTTTGGAAATGCGCATAGCAGCCAAAAAAAAAAATAAAAACCACGAACACACACACACACAGAGCTGGGCTTTCATGAGGTATCCCATTATAATGAACTGAAGTGTTGTGTTTTGGTAAATTAATCTCTCTGGCAGTCAGTTATCAAGTCTGGAAAATGCAGTTACTGAGTAGACAGGTTTTTACTAGGATTTAAGTGGGCAGATTACGACTTCCGGAAAAGCCGTCCTACTGTTCATTCCCTTGCTTTTTGTCGTCACCTTCCTCCTCCAACTTAGAACACACCAGGAGCAAGCAAAGGTCTCCCGGGCCAGTTAACTGGGTGAAATTCCTCTTCTGTTGGCTTTTATCAGCATGCTCAAAACTAGCCTCTGAGACAGTTCTAAACATATCACAAAATAGAGTTAGCATCAACCCTGACCTCCTTCCTACCATACATGTTGTAAGGCTGTTCCCTAGCCACATTTCCAACATTAAGGTGATTTCGCTATTTGTTTTTTTTTTTTTTTTGGTAGAGTATTTACTGGGGAAAAGAATCTTGGAGGAGAACCATTTTATCAGTTGTGTATACGCTGTAATTATGCATTTGCTCACGGCAGGTTGACGTGGACAGTGCCCTCAGGTGGTGCTAATGGTGGCCTTCTCCACGCACCCTCCTCCCCACCCCATCTCGTCTGAAGTGAGGAAATGAGCAGTAAGTCTGCAGAGGGTCCCCACATTCACAATGAGACATGGGGCATGTGTCCTTCAGATGCAGCAGCTGGGCTTTCCGTTTTGGGCCTCTGACTGCAACATGGCAGGAATGACCGGGCTGGGAGCTGCATGGGAATAAGCTGTCTGGGGGACGGATGGACGAATGGTCCTTCTGCTCACGGCAGAGGCATTTTTCACTTAGCATTTGCAAGACAGAAATGCTGGCAAGAAGTTCATGAGCACTGATGGTGATCACAATGTCTACCTCCCTTTCCCGTAGGCTCCCTCTCCTCCACCAACCAATTTTCTTTCACTCAAATGGTTGACGTGGCATTCTAGTTGAATCGGACCAGAACAAAGGATCACACAGCAGCCAAGCAGGTAGGGTGGGGGTGGGGCACAGGAGATAGAGGATGCAGCCTTGGAACACAGAGGTCTGTTGCAGGAAGCCAGAATCTTGACTTTTCAGTCCTGGATTCCCCTGGGAGCCGAAGGCAGAGTGGGCGTGACTGCAGTGCTGGGGGCCGGGACTGCTCTGGGGGGATCAGGGCTGCCCTTTGCCCTCCCCCAGACCCTCCCCGAGGTGGAAGCCCATACAGTATTGGATGGCTGTTGGGTCAAGGCACTGTCGTGTTCGGCCGGAGGCAGTGGGTCAGTGGCAGTGGAGTTCTCCATGGCCTTAATACATCACAGCGGACTCCAGGGTGGGCTCCTGGCAGGAAGAGACGGGGTAGGGATGTCACCGGGCAGCCAAAGCGACCGACGCTGTGGTCCCTGTGACAGTTCTAAGTTCTATGCTCTCTTCCTTTTGGGATTCTTTGAGGTTTTTCTCCGTGGGCTGGTTTAAAGCCAGTTTGTTTTAAAGGGTTCATTGATGCTTGGAAAAAAGTAAATAACCTGTCACGTATAAAGTTAAGCATTAATTAAGATGTATATTTTAACAACTACATGATTTGGTTCTCTAGCAGGATTTATTTCTGGTGCTCTTGAGCTGCTCAGGGATTCTGCGCATCACCAATTTTCAGTCTTTTCACAACCATCGTACAGTCAATTGCCTTGCTCCCTGCCACAAACCGGGGAGGCCCAGGCCTTCCCCGCAGCCCTAGAATTAAAGCACCCTTCCTCCTCCTCCCTCATCTCTGAACACTTCTTGTCTTGAATGGTAAGATTTCTGCTTTTAAAAAAAAAGTTACTTTATGCCAACTTAGTTAAAAAAAAAAAAAAACTACAGTCCAAATCCACATGGCATCAAACCAGCCGTTTTAAATGAACAATTCAGTGGCATTTAAAACTCATCGGGTTGTGCAGCCACTGTCCTTGTTTACGCAGAGTGGACACGCTGGCTCATCTGGTAGCCTTTTTCAACCCTCTACCAGCTCCAGGCATCCAGCAAGGTAATTTACTTTTAACCTTCTCATGCACACTGCAGGTTCCCTTCCTCACCTGTGGTGGTCTGGCCTCTTAATGTGCTAATATCTCTTCAGCTCTTTAAAAGCAGACAACAAGATGATGGGGTTGTGTGGCTGGGGCTAGAGGCTGGCCAGAGAAGGGCAGGTGGGGGGCAGTGCTGCTGTCTGACACTACCTATGTGAGCACTTTGTAATCTAGGATTGCCCTCCATTTTGCCATCACCCCCAAATCTGTGTGCTCAGGCAAGAATGAAGCAGCGAAGAGTGGGGAGATGGGTGACTGAGGGGCAACAGAAAAATTCTGCCATTGCTTCAGTCTGGTCATCCCATGCAGGGTCTGTGCGCTGCGCGGCCAATCTCCCAGAGGTTTGCTGAGATTCTGCCTTGGGTTTTAAGCAAGCGATCAGTGACTCCTCTCGCCTTCACCTCTAGAGTTTATTTACTGCTCTTGGCTCTTCCACATGTGGGGGGCTGCCGCTGACTTTTTGTTCTTCAGGTACAGTATTCATGGCTAATAAGAAACTAAAGGAAGAGTAGTAGAAAGCCCAATAATTCATGCATCTCCTTTTTGTCTTCCATCAGATTGGATTTGTATGAGGGGCTGTGCAGTAAAGGGAACAATGGCATTCCCCTGCTCAAGCCCCACACGCAGCAGTGAGACCATGGGGGAAGGATGCTTCTCCAGGCTCTGCTGGGGGGACGGTGGGGGAGACAGGCCGCCTTAGGGAGGGAGCTTGAGCAGTTTCAGAAGTGGTGACAATGGGACAGAATACTCACCACCAAATCCGTGCAGGTGCTTCTCATCTCCTTGCTTCTGCTCGTGGAGGAGCCTTGGAGAATGAAATTGCGGTTAAATGTTTTCACGGCAGTCATGGAAGATGCCTCAGTGTTTTCGGCTATAAGGAAACAAATGGGAGTAAGTGTTATCCAGAAACTGGGTTGACTGTTAAGGAAGAAAGGCCAGGTGGCCAGCACACCCAGAGTTTTGTTCTCAGCTTGTCACCTCATCATGGGCGTGGGTTTGACTGTGGATTTGTTGGTTCTGTCTCTGTTTAGCATGGACTAAATAAGTCCAGGGATCATGGGTGGCTCTTTGGGGAAAAGTGGCTTGGAGACAGTCCAGGATACGCTAAGTTCCTGAAATACAAAGTGCTCTAGAACCTGCCAAGTTGTAGAAAATTGGGGATAAAATTGATGTGCAGCTATTTAATATCTTCTTCTAGCTCACTGAGTGGGACCACACTCAAGTTTTGTTGCAAGGATATTTGTGTTTATTTAGTGCTTCCCAACCGGCCTGGAATTAAGAAATACAGGCTAGAAGTACCATGTTACCTTCCTGAAGTCAGGAAATTTATGAAACAAAGGATGGGGACTGGTTATGTTTAACTGCCCAGTGGTTTTATAGCATATAAATCAGGCACTCTATTTGTCGAATACGTGGTGGAACCAAAGCTCCAACACATCTTCTGGCTTTCTACTGATTGACAGATCCGGATTTCTAATGAGCCATCATCCGTTAGGGGACCCTTGCATAGGGGCAATTGTTGTAAAGGTCCACTGGCTAACAGTGCTGGAATCTTACTGCAGTGGGTGCCGTGGCAGATGCCTCCTGGTGTCCTGTCTACTAGTCCCTGGTGGTCACCATTCCACAGCAGTGCCACACTCTCTTGCCTCACGCATGGCACAGGCCTGGAAGTTACTGCCCGAGAAATATGACGAACCTGGGAGAGACAGGACTTGAGGGTCAAACACTGCATCTGCTTATACTCCAACTAGGAAGGTCGCGAGTGTCATCAACACGGCCTTTCGGGGTCCCAGGACAACTGAGCTTCATTCGCCCGCTCATTAGACTACTGTCTTGGCTTCATTACCTTTTTTGAGTCATTTCTCTCCTTCCCTACTAAGTCACCTCCAGAATGCACTAGTTGCGGTCCCTTCCTTCCCCAGGAAGTCCCTTGCTCCTGTGGGGACCCGAGTCCAGACACACAAGGGCAGTTGTGCATGGGAACTCCCTGTTAATCTCGTCTTCCTACTTAAATTTCCCTGTTCCTCAAAGGAAACCCTTGGCGTTAGCTCTCTGGCAGCCCAGTGATTTTAATGAAGGCATACCTTTCACTGGCGGAGCAGGCAACTTCCTCCTCTGCTGCCTTGATGTGTCTATGGTGTGAACCTACAGGCAGAGCACAAATATCAATCCACTTTTGCAAAGCCAAAGAGATTTTTATCTTCCATATTTTCCAGGTCCTGCAGTGTTCCAACAGAAGGCTGCAGGGACAGACACACCTGGCTCCTTTGCCTCTGTTCCCGTCGTCTCGTGAGGTGCACACAGGGAGCGATGTTCAAGCCCGCGACGGTCAGGGCTGAAATCCGGCTCTCGATGTCGGATATCTGAACGCAACAAGATCAGCAGGGAGAGAAGCAGAAGGTGAGAGGCTTTGTCAAAGGCATTGTGAAAGCACAGAGAACAAATCTTCTTGATGTGCGCTCATTCATTTATTCAATGTCTGTCTATTATGCAGCAGGGAGAAGATATAACACAGACCTTTCTTTAGAAGTTTAACTTTATAGCCTGGTTGCTCTGGACGAGCATGTCAACAACCCCTTCAGGGTATGCCCTGGGGGTAACTGCACCACAGCTTTATGGCAGCCAGGGCCACCTGCCTTCGCCAGAGGGTCAGAGGGAGAGGTCTGGGAAGCTCTAAGGGAGGCAATGCTGCACTGAGTTTTGAAGGGCAAGTACTGTTAATGGGGCCTGCATCCTCCATAGGGCGCCCCAGTTGGAGGGGCTCTCCCAAACGAAGAGCTCGAATGCCCTTGAGAAACCCCTCCCTTCCTGCGCACCCATTTCCTCACTTACAGTCTGGGAAGACTCAACATCTCCATTGGGGGTGGAGCTTAACATTCATGCCTGCGTCCATGCTCCAGCCTGGCAGAGGGGACGCCGGCAGGGTGGAGGGGCGAGGTGTGCATCATGGTCTCCCTGCTGATCAAGGTTCTCTCTCCCTTCGGGCACAGCCCGAAGCTCATGTGTGTGCGCCTCATCCCGGACTGTGGCCTGCCCCCGCCCCGTGCTTCCCCCAGCTGATGCTGCCCTCTCATTCGCTGAGGATGGACAGGTGCTGGAGGGAGGTGTGCAGAGAAGGGCTGAGAGGTCAGCACAGCCTCCCAGCAGCAGCCCCCAGCCACCCTGCCCCTCCCTAGCCGCCCGTTCTGACTCCCCAAATGCCACATTAGGAGTTGAATTCCTTCCGTTTCTAGGCCAGCTAATTGCACAAGCCTCTGAGAAAACATGCAGTCTGGGTTCTCATCAGGCATTTGTGCTCCTGTGGACTGGATGCCCACATTCTCCTGTGAAATTGATGTACTACTGACTGTCATGTTCTGGGACAAGGAGGAATTAATTGTCCAAATTTTGTTCCACAGGGTAAAGAACAACAAAAGACAAGTGGACAACTATGAAGGGAGGATTTTGCCTTCCTAAGACTGTGCCCATTGACTGAGACACTGGGTGGAAGGAGGCGGCCTGCTCTGCTGTTTCCCGGTAGGCACCACCAAGAGCTGAGCGAGGGACTCTATGTCCATCCACAGGACAGTGAGCAAGCACTCAGAACAGCTTTCCCTGATACTAAGGGTTAAAGGACCCTCCCCTCCGCACCCCCCACCCCCCGGGGTCATGCTGCAATCTCTCCCAGTGCTGGACAATGATACTCCATCCCAAAGGCAAACTCCAAGGTGACAGGGTCCTTAGAATGCCACCTCATTAGAGAATGCAGTGGGCTAGCAGCATTGTCTTCCTCAGTAGGGACCCTGCTGGCAGCCTGCAAAACTCCTAAGAACAGCTGATGGGGGTGGCCAGTGGCTTTGTTTGCTATCAGCAACAGGCAGTATGAAGAGAGTCCCTGTTGGAGTCATCTGCGAATCGGAAGGCAGCGTCAGCCACCCTCCATTAAGGACTCAGGTGCACACCTGCTGGGAAGATCAGCACACTTATCTGGACACCATGCGATGCACCCTGGCCAATGAAATGCAATGTGAAGGAAGGCCTCCTTCCAGCTATTTGACCTCGGGTATATGGCCTCAGTTTTCCCAGAATTACAAAAGGAAATCATAAGTAGTCGCTAAAAGTGTAAATCCAGTCATGAGCAACAGTACTGAGGAAAGTAAGGTCTGCTGGACACCGAGGATTATGGGTAACACTATTGCAGGAATTTAAAATAATAGGCCCATTTAAATACACGGAAAATGGTATTTGGGACTTAGCTAAATCCTAAAAAATTCACAAGCAGAAATTAGCTATCTAATTAAGCCTTCCAAAATACCCATAAGTAATATCATAGCCTGCCAAATCATTCAGGAATCCTCTTGCCTCACAATGCCAGAAGACAAATGATTCCATTGTACTTTAGAGAGCATTGACAACTAATTGATTATGTATCTAGGGTGACATTTATAGGAAATAATTAATTTTCAGAAAGTTTCTGTTCATCCCTCCTTTTGGGAAGAAATATTCAGTCCCTGGGGTCATCTGTCGGAGGAGCCCCATCCCTGGCCTTAACCCACAGCTGGGGAAGAGGCTCCTCCTTTCTCGAGTAGTTCATGATACCACAGTGAATTCTGATCTTTTAAACGAGTGTCGTCTTCTGCATCTAGAGACGGTTCCTAGCTAGCACCGTTCTTCCCACGGTGCAGGATTCCGAGTCTACAGCTAAGGCAGTGCCACAGGGATCTGTCCTGAACTGCTGTTGGAAAGGTGGGCATTTCTCAGATGTGACTAACAAAATGGGCCCTTTCACAGGAAAAAATGGTCACAATTCCTGAGTGTGTGTGCACATACCTTAGTTGGTGAATTAATTATTTAGTCTATGGCTCATTTTGATCCATAAAATCAAAGGCCACGAAAACCTCTAACAGGCATCTTTGCAAAGTTGTACAAGCCATGATGACCCACTCTGAAACAGCATGTGAAAATCCTGTCTGTTCTTCATGCAAAATCCCGCTCTGAGAAACCTGTGCTTCCACTTGAATTCACTCCTTTCTCCTGGGTGCCAGTCTGCTGGGTACTGCCGGAGGCACTGGAGTTACTACGTTCACCTGGATTGCTGTTAGAACTCATGATGCTTTTAGCCTGATAGGTGTTCAGCTACATAAAAAGGGACAGAGGAGGGTAGTGTTGGTGTCCTGGGGACCTGTCCAACACAGGGACTTACCTCTGGGTCAGATACGGTATGCCAGCATAAGGTTTTCTGGGGCAGCCCGATACACTGTCAAGGCTATAATCTGGGAGGGAAGAGGGCTATGCTTAAGGAGAAAAAAGCGATTTAGTGGAGTCTTGCATCTCGGAGGGCTGTACTCTGGGCAAACACATTGGAGACAACAGGGTCTAATAGAACAGTGACTTGGAGACAACTCTTTAGAAGATGAGCCTCCGCAGCCCCGCAGGTGTCCTCCGGAGGCAGAGTCCTTACCTGGAGCTCGGCCTGGTGCACCTGGGCTGCAGCCGTGGCCACCTGGTCCTCCAGATCTGCCAGTTCCGTCTCCTCGGTGCCACTGTGGATGCAGCGGGCGGCGTCTTCCAGCTCGCTCAGCTGGCCCTCCAGCCCGTACACGGTGCCAGCTGCCAGGTACACCTGCAGAGAGAGCGCAGTTTGAGGTTTGGGGCCCTGTGGAGGGAACCCAGCAATTAAGGAGATTTAAGAAAACTCAGTTCAACCTCGGGGGAAGGTGAGAGTCCCCATTTGTAAACATTAAACATTCTCACTTAAATGGCAGCATAAGGGCTTGCCACCCATCCTGTGCTCATCTGTTGCCCAGGTATCCTGCAGTTAAGCAATTTTATAAACCACTTTTGATAAAGCAGCACAAAACACATAGCACTAGCTAGGCACTGACCAGTGACGCGTAAAAACTAACCAAGAAGACAGAGAAACCCATGATTTTTGTGTTTTAACCCTAACAAAACTTTTGGGATTTAGTAATCAAAAAAAAAAAAGTGTATAAAGCATCCAAGAGGTGACATTAACTTCATTTGTTCAATTTATAATTATCTCATGAATCACCCCCTTGTTTGTCTGAAATAGGTTAAGGGAATTAAAATGAACTGGGAATTTGCAGAATACTATTTCTAACACAAGAATATGACTTTGAGAGAGCATGTCAAATTCATCTGTCAATTAGGACCTTTTTTTTTTTTTTTGCTGCTGAAACTTCACAAACCAGATTAAAGGATTCATGCAAGGTGAGGGAAAGAAGACAAGTTTCCCACGGAGTTTCTTCTGAAAGTAAAATCACGAGGTGAGCTCGGAGCAAGGCACACGGGCCCCAGTGAACAGGACGGGAGCGTCCTGAGCAGTATCCGGATAGAACCAGCCATGATGTGAGACATGGGGTGAGTTGAAGCTTGGCCTGGCCCCAGCCCAGGTGGGCATCCGGGCAGTGAGCTGGAGGGTGGGCACTGCCTTTCTTGATTTCCCACTGAATCCATTTGAATGCACAAGGGGAAACTCATCACAAACAAGTGTTCTGAGATAGACACGCCAGGGGCCTGTGCACAGAGGTGGTGGCCATCTCCGGCCCGCAGTGACACTGGCTGTAGATGAGGCAGAGGACGCCGAGATACTCCTACCCAGCCAGTTCCTCAGCCTCACTCACTCACCTGCATCCACACTGCCATTTGATAGAACGTTCTAAAGTGGGGCAAAGGCAGGGGGCGCCCCGCAGTGACAGACACAACGGACGTCGTGTCCAGCGACTGTCCAGTCACGCAGGGGTCGTGTGACAGTGTCTGCCGGCAAGGGCTGTGTCTCGGCTGGCTTTGGTTTGCTGCTACTTTACCAAACGCTCAATCAGAGAAATCCTGTGCCTAAAAGACCTTCCCAAGTTAATGTGGCCATTTAATCGCTGTTTTTAAAAAGAAGAAATGGTTCTGATTTGTCCATAAGAATGTCAAAGATTTGAGTGGAGAAATTCCTAGAAAAAAATGTATCTCTTAACAATGTTGATGTTGAAATATTTTTCTTAGGAGCAGAAAAAAATGTAAGGGGGAAGGAAGCAGGAGAGAGGAGGAGGAGGTTTAGTTCAGAGTTCATTACCTGTTGCTTACACTTACCTACTTAAAAGGTAAATTTTATTTTACTAAGATCGTGTTGAGTATAAACTAATTCATATATCAGAAAATTTGGAGCAAAATTAAATGAACTATTTAATTATGGCAGTGGTGAAATAGAACTCGACACAACCTTGATCTTAGAATCTTGGTTTTACCAGAAAGACACACAGCCTCACTACGCCTGAGGACTGTGTCACCGCAGCTGCCACCTGCATCTTCCCATTAGTCACCTGCTGCCGCTGCCTGCTTTTTCTGCCAGGAGAGAGCAACATGAAAGAGCTCCAAGCCCCAGGAAGGTCAGAATGTTCATCTTGCCTCCGTGTTCTCCTAAAGTCTGCATTTGTTTGGCAACAGGGAGGTGGACAGATCCAGTGGCTTGGTGCTGTCACCAGCTGAGCAGGAGCCCCCCGGCCACAGTGACAGCTCCTGGAGGCCAGCGGGGGAGGGAGATGGTGCTGGTGTCAACGCCATGGCTGAACCCGGGACCCACTAAGGTTTCCCTGACGTCTGTTTAATGTTTGTGGCAACCACTGAAGTGTCGGGATTATTACTAGGAATGAGCAGAGGGGGGCAGTCTTTTTATCCTAGGAAGGATCCCTGGCTTGCCCAGGTCTGGCAGCTGGAGAGTGGTGGAGCCTGTCCACTCCCTGCCAGGGAGTCCCTGCCAGGACACTGGCACTGTGCTGCTTGGCTCTCCCAGCTACCAGACCTCCTCTCTTTCTGAAGTGCCCCCTGCCCTTTGGTATTTTGTTACAGCAACACAAAAGTGCTTAGTCTTGGTTGGAATACTTTGACATTTTACATTTCATGCTTTGAAAACATAAAGGTACTAGTTACCATGGTGATCACTGGATTATATTTGCTCTGCTGCTGGCTGAAGTAACCAAAAGTTATGATGACCGTATTATTCTTGCCTTATCAGAAGTAAACAATTTAAAAAACCAATCAGCTGAAATTGCCCCTGCTTAGTTGTGATCCACTTTATGGAGGAACTGTGAGTCCTTTTCTTACTGGTGCTTAGTATCTCCTATGGATTGCCTCCTGCTTCAGCAAGCCTGTCTCAGAGACACTCAAGAGATGGAGAGCATTCAGGAAAGGCCCTGGGGGGGTCAGACCTCCTAGGAGAAAGAGCGGTAGGGAGCCTCCCTGGCTGCAGGACTCTGAGAGGCAGCAGTGTGCTAACAGGCATTGCAGCTTGCCAAGAGAGAGTGCACACAAGTCCCAGATGTCGCTGACCTGAGCACAGCTTTGGGAACTTGGCTTCCACGAACTACACTTCTGGGGACTGAAGCAAGAGAAGAACAGGTTCTATTTTCTAGAACCCCCAAGGAGCCATCACCACCTCCCTCCACAGGTTCCCTGGTGCCACATCTTCTCTGCTGCTGAAGGGGTCACCCAGGGACCTTCATAGGGAAGGTCAGCATCCCCACTCAGTCCCGTGATCAATGGGGCAGGGATGTTCTGTCCTACATGGGCCACTCCAGGCAAAGCTAAAGGGACTAGTTCTCTAACAGGATTACAGGGTTGCCACAGGTTGCCTCTGACATTCAGCCAAGATCAAAGTGAGGCCTGTCCTCAGATGGGGGCGGGAAGGAGAGGAAGCTGACTCATCCCTTCTGCTCAGAGCCCTGCCACAATCTACAAGGTGGCTCTGCTCACTGCACATGGCAGGCTAGTTTTCCGCTGATCCTATGAACCCTTCTCCGGCCTGCTCTGACCCCTGCCTGGCTGGGTTGGGTTGGTCAAGGGTAGTCCCCAGCTAAGAGATGGAAGGCAAGGGTAGAAGGTAGGAGTAGTCATTTGCCTGGCCTCCCCCGGGGGGTACCTTGTTTCTGGTAGCAGTCCTGGTCCTGATTAAAGCTCTCAGTCTGGGTCCTCTTCAGGATTCCAGTTCTCCCTAGGCTCTGGTTCCATGGCCTGGGAGTGGTAATAACCTCCCATGGCTTCTCTCTATACCCTGCAACCTCCCTTAACCTGGCTGACATCTCGGTTAACTGTCCCCTGCATGAACTTCTCTCTCCTTGTGCAGCCCGAGGCTAACAGGTGCAGAAAGACTCCTCTCAGCCGAAGCGTACAATACCCAGAGACACAGTGCTCAACTAAGGAACCAAGTCCACTGTGCTTGGGATCAGCACAACACGGCTCCTGTTTCCTGCTTTGAGGCCAGAGCACAGCCGATTTCCCAGAGCGAACACTAGGCTGCAGAACAGTGGTGCCCAAATCACCAAGCTCAGGGAATTCAAAACTCCCATTCCTACCCCCGCAGTCCCCAGTCAAGTAAATCAACGAGACAATTTAGGGAAACAGGCCACTGCATAAATTAATGTGCCATTTGTTTTACCTGATGACGCTTTGAAACCTTCAGAAGCGTTTTTACAGGTGAATATTCTCAACTGAATCCTCTTCTCTCCCAGAGCCCCGGTCTGAAGAAGCCCGCTTTCAGCAGGTGGGAGCCGTGCTGCCATTTTCTATTTCCAACCGTCTCTGCTTCTCCAGCACAAAGAAGGCCAACGGGCTGCCAAGGAATGAGGAGCTCTCCTTTTCAACACGGATGACAAAGCCATGATTTAAGGCAGCCGCGCCCAGATCCCTTGTTTAAGACCTGGCCCTCTCCTGCCTTGACTGAATTCCATCCTGAGAGAGCAGAGTGAAGCCAGGAGCCCAGGGCCCTGTGATCTGGCTAATCAAAGGCATGAAGAGAGTCGTCCAAACCCAGGGATTTCAAAGGAACACAGAGACAGCTGCTTTTGCTGTGGAATTTGAAAAATCAGAGGAGGAAGCTGGCTCGTAACCTTTTGTGGGCAGAGGAGGCAGGAGAGGGAAGCAGTCAGCCTTAAAACCCTAATTCAGCCTTGCGTTCTTGCCTGCTCTGACACCTTGACCTGGGGAGTGTGTGTGTCAGGGCTAAGGAAGCCAAGGTAAAAACGAGCCATGCAGTGGCAGGACCTTAGGAAATACATAAGGCCCCGCTACCTTTCCCACATGCTCCTCGGAGGAAAAGCAAAACACAGTGTTTGCAGTAACCACAGGGGCCGAGAACTGCCACTTTAAACCTTGGTTATCCACATGTAGCTCTCTTGATGTTGAGTTTGGTACAACATCCATCCCTTTCCTGGTGATGCATTTCATCAGTTCCATGTGTTCCAGGATTACGGCTGTGTCAAGATCATGGGCCCTAAAAGGACTGTTAGACACACTAAAGAACATAGCAGCAGTGGAGTGTTGCTTCATCCACATCATCACTCGTTAGAATAACACTTTTAAAGTCAAAACAACAAATCAAAAATACCCCTGGGAGCCAGATCCATGCCATAGCACATTCAGCCCCTGCCTGCAGTGTCATATGCGCACTGGTTTGAGTCCCGGCCACTCCATTTACTGTCCAGCGGAGATGGCTGCTTGGGTCCCTGTACCCACGTGGGAGACACTCCAGCCTCCTGATTTGGAACTGCTCCCCTTCAACCATTGCAGTTACTTGGGGAGTGAACCAGAAAAAAGGAAAATCTCTCTCTTTTTTATCTCTGTAAATCACCTTACAAATAAAACTTTAAAAAAATACCTGTGATAATAGTTCCTGGTTTTTTGGGAACAGCATCCCATGAGAGTGCCCCAAAAGCAAAGTTTACTTTGGGGATCTGGAAAGATGAAGTCACCGCCTGGATTTTATATTAGCTTTGTGGGCAAGTCCGTGCCAACTCATTCTGTATGCCCTGAATGGCTCTTTTCTAAATCTCTCTTTTTCTTGGTCTGGAGTCCTGGAAGATTATCATCAGAGTGTTACTGAAATTGTAGATTTTTTTATATTTGAAAATTATAATCTAACAAGGGATGACTACCCAGAACACACAAGGTACTCAACAGCCAAAGACGAAATAATCCAATCAGAATGTGGGCATGGGGCTAAGCAGACGCATCTCAGAGGAGGGCACAACGTCGACAGGCACGTGATAAAAGTGCTCAGCGTCACCGATCATCAGGCACATTCCACTCAAAGCGTCGCTGAAACACCTTCCTCCTCCTCACCCAAAACAACAGGTGCAGGGAAGGTAGTGCGGAAAAAGAAACCCTTGTTCCCCATCAGCCCGAAATGTCAACACACGCAGCTGGTACGGAAAACAGTCTGCAGGTTCCTCAATTACAAACAAAACCCTGAGGAAAATAACTGCCTGCTCTCGTCATCCCACTACCGCATCCCTGGAGAAACGAAGTCACTTTGTCGAGGAGACATCTGCACTCCCTTGTTTATGACTTACTATTCAAAATAGCCCAGAAATGGAAACCAGCTAAGCGTTCCTCAAGCGACGCCAAAGATCGAATGTGCCATATTTTGCACACCACAGAATATTAGCCACAAAATACGATGTTATCCTGTCACTTGTGCCACCATGGATAGAACAACTAGAAGTCATTATGTTAAATGAAATAAGCCAGACACACAAAGAAGACACTACATAATCTCACTTAATAGGTGAAGACTGAAAAAAAGTGCAGCTCGTGGAAGTTAATGGTAGAAACGTGGTTACTGAAGACTGGGGAAAGTGGAGGGGAGGAAAGGATGATGGAAAGATTAATTAAAAAATAATTATAGAAAGGAGAAATAAGTTCTGGGGTTCTACTGCATAGTGGATGACTACAGACCAAAAAAAAAAAAAAAAAAGGTCCTGTGTATTTTTCCAAAAATAAAGGAAGGCAGAAGAAACAGTTTTGGATGTTTTTGTCACGAAGAAATGACAGGTGTTTGAGGCGACAGATGTTTTATCCCTCGCCGGGCATTGAACAATGTACTTACATGCACTGAAACATTACTTGGTACCCCGTAGCACACACAGTTTTTATGTGTCAATGAAAATTAAGTTTTGAAGAATCTATTGCATCTTTTCTTCCCTTCCAAGTCAGGAGGACGGAACAGCGCAGGGCGTCAGGCGCAGCTGTCCCTTTCTGCTCCCTCCTCCGCAGGGCGCACTGAGAGCCGCTCTGAGCTCCACACACAGCAGTCGCTCCAGCACCCCTGGCTGCCCACACTCTCGGAGTCCAGAGGGGTTGTTTTTCTTCCTTACTTAAAGGGTGAACATTACAGCACCCTTACTTTTTTGCAGTATAAACTACATGCAGCTGAATTTGAGTAAGCACTGCCCCCCAACCCATATTAATTTGATGCTGCTTTTACACAAGGACACATTCTGACAGGGAACCAGAGAATCTGGCTGATGCCATTTGACCTTGCTGAAATGTTGGCATCTGTCGCATTCCACCCTGACCGCCTGCCGTTCTTACCTTCCCCCTCTGCAGACACCCGGTGGATCCCATCTGCTTCCCTGTGGCCCTGGCTCTTAGGCAAGGCCTCCTTTAGACAGCTGGAGAGCTGGCACAGGTGGTGGGCCCAGCCATGTGGGTCAGAAGGGGTAACAGGTTAAAACAAAACAGAGGGACTAGGGTAAGAGGGACTTCCAGGCCACCATACCTGGACTTCAGTGAAAACAGATCTGTTTCGGCAGAGGCAGAATCACCACCAGGGCTAATTTTGTTTCCTTTTTCTCTCAAGGGTTTCTTTTTTTTTCCTTCTTGCAAATGGCAAATGCATCCTCACCCCAGGATGAGAGCAAGCTAGAAGTGTTGTCTCAAGGTTGGAACCACTTTTAGTAACACATTCTTTAATGTAATTGAACAGGACTGCGTTAGGAGTTAGATGATGACATGGCTCAACTACTAAGAAGATCTAACCTATTTGGGTATTTATCTTGTCCCAAGCGTTGTGCTACATAGTTTCAAAGAAGAAAGATCATTTTAACTATGCCCCCAAAGTTAGGTTTTCTTCTTTCGATTAGCCAGGTCTACTATCCCTGGTCTCCTTGTTGGAGTATAGGTGAGAGAAAGATCAGAATAGGGTCGGGGAGTGATGGCCGAGTCTGGGTCTCCGTGTGGCCACAGGGTAATGCAGCAGGGACTCGGGCAGTTCCTGAGTCTTTAGAGAGTTTCAGGGTGGAGCATGGAGGTCTCGCGAGGGAGGCAGTAGTGGGCTTCCTGCCGCCAGTGGCAATGGAAGCCTGAGTGTTTCCTTGGAAACACAGGTAGGTGACTGTGCTTAGTATCTTGAGTGAGGGGAATGGGGCAGGCCTGGCTGTACGAACCTGAGTTCTCTGGGCAACTGCTTCATTCCTCCAGCTGCACTGGTAGCACTCTGCCCAACTCTGGTCAACTCTGAGATGCACCTGATAACACAGGGCTAGCTCCCTGTGAGACTGGCTATGCCTCCACAGGCTGCCTCTCTTTACTTTCTTCTTCTGGGGGCCTTAATCAGTGATTTGTATGCAAATCCTCACTGCAGGGTTCCATTTGCTTCTATGGAATGCACCCTAGAACCCTTCCTAAGGGCATACTCACTAGGGTGGTCATGGGAGAGAGTGTGTGTGTGTGTGTCTGTCTTTGCACTCACTGTGATGAGCTTCAACTTCAATAGTGTGGCTGTGCACACAGTCACCGTGCCAGGGCACACCCACACCCTCTTACGTTTTCTTCCAGTGAGGTCAGCTGCTCATCCAGTCTCACTTGGTCTGTCCCAAGAGGAAACGTGCCCTTGTCTCCGTCGGGAGGGGCTGGCGGGGACTCCCAGGGCCCTGCAGACTCTGCTATCAACTCTTCCGTGGCATTGATGACTCTCAGGACTTCTGTGGAGATGTTGCAGAGAGAGACAGCAGAATACTTCTGTTTGGTCCAATAACAGAAGGGGACAGAAGACAAGAACAACACATTAACAATGACACGGGCATTCTACATCATCATGAGATGGATTCCGTACATACACACACATACACACACACACACACACACACCAGTGTGCCAAGGGAATGAGCAGATAGAATCTGCGCAGTTTCCCTTGCAGCTGTGGGTAGCCATGCCACATGGGTCAAACCAGAGAGCCTGAAAGGAAAGCCTCGGAAAGAGGTCTGAAGGAAAGCTTCTGGTTTCTTAATCGGGAGAACACATGTATCCGACACCCACTACCGCACGCCCTGCCACTCTTGTTTCGTCCTTGAATGTAGAAGTTTGGTGTACGAACCAAAGAGAGTGAAGATGGGTATCAGCCAAGTAAGAGAGAACAGCAACATAGAAAGAGCCAGGGCCCAGCGAGCAATGGATCATTGCTGAACTCTGGGAGGCCCCCTGCTTGCCTCTGGACATCTTGTTAGAGGAGAAAAACCATCTGCTGGAGCCACTGTTGGCCAGGCTTTCTGTAATCTGCGGCTGAACCTATTTCTAACTGACACTGTTCTCTCACAGCTTTTTGTGTTTGTGGCTCAAAGTTGCTACCAATCCAGCGCTAAGGGGCAGTTCAGCCGCAAATAACGGTCACATCCAAGTTCATGAGCACCTGCGACATCAGGCCATCAGATGGAGATCAACACTGCTCCGGCATTCAGGGTTTCTAACATGAATACTTTTTTTTGTTTATCCCATTGTAGGGGTTGAAAATGGGGAGTCAAAAATGACAGAGGCCTGCTCTGCTTCACGAGTAGAATGTTCCAGGGAAATCTGGCATGGTAATGCCTTTGGTAGGATCCACCCTCCTAAGGTACTGCTCCAACTCAAATCACGGCTTAATTTTATTTGTTCCCCTCATTGGAATCCACTCAGGTTTTGTCTTGCCAGAGGAGGTTTTCAACAGCCTTCCACTTCACTGGAGAGGGAATCAGAGAGGTTAAGTGGTGAAGTATTGGCTTGAATCCTGTGACACCCTGAGAGATGCATTTAGGAGGGAATAATATTGAATGGAAGGAAGTCGGCTTGCCATGAATGTAGGTAATCCTACTCCAAGTGTCACCTGATTTCATTTCATTCCAACCTCACAACAACCTGTCATGCTCACCAGTTCCGTCATCAGAGATGAGGATGCCCTGGGTCAATGAAGAGGCGGCAGGACTGGGGTTTTTGGCTCAGAGACTTTGCTCTCCAAATCCATGCCACTTCTCCCCTTGTCACACCACACCTACCACCTGCTTACCGGAACAGCTGCCTGAACTCAAAGGACCCAGAATGGCATGAAGAACCAGAAGTTCAGGGAATCATGACAGGTGGACAACAGATTGGCAAGAGACGGGAGCTCAGACAGCTCACTGCTGTGATACATAAACTCAGCCAGCTGGCGAGGCCACAACCCAGTGTGAGGTCCTCGTCCATACCTGTCAGGCCCACCTAGGACTGAGTTTCCCATGACAACGAGGCTGCAAAAGAATGTGCTTCGTAAGGAAATCTGTTCCCAGTGGGATGCAGACTTCACAGTCTGCTGGCTGCTTTTCTGCCTCATGTTGCAGACACTCGTCTGGGCTTTGTGAAATGCTTCCATCAAGCTACCAGAGCGAGCAAGCAAGGAAGTTGGTTTAAATGCCCTGATTTTATGTATTTTTTTCCCTCCTTTAAAGTTAAGAAAAGAAACTCCATATGTCCTCCTAAATAGTTGACAGAAACCTGCTAGAAAAATTCCACGTGAATGTGTTTCGGTCTTCACGAGACATAAGGCACTCCAGCAATGCCTCTAAAACCCGTCAAATACATTCTCCACAAACAGACGCCTGTCCCTGAAGAGTGATTTGATGAAAGAGGGTGGTGCAGAACCGTGGCAAGAAATTGGAACATGCACTTGATAAATTAGCATATGTAACCGACCAGTCAATTACACGTAACCGAAGTGGAGGAGAACTGGCTTTTAAGAAGGATCAAGATTAGAAATCACACAGCACTTGGTAGCCAAGGCCATTCAAAAAAGAAAAAAGAGCTTTGACTTTTTTTAGTGGTGATTAAAACGTGAAGTGAAAAGTCTCCTACTGGCATTTAAGTTCTGGAATTAAACCCAAGGTTTTGTGGCTTCCCCTGAGGTCATGTTTTTGCCCTTCCTTGGTGGTATGCACTGTTGTTTGATGCATGCCACTTGCGCAAAGACACATCAGGCCTGGTAAGGGTTGCAGAGGAGGGGAACGGAGCCATCTCCTTTAACCAAACCTGTCCTGGCTGGTGTGAACCGGGCAGGAATGTCCTTACTGTCCCAAGAGGTGATCAGGGTCATTGATCTTCCTACTGGCTGCTTCTCAGGCAGTCTGCACTGAAATCTACTGGAAAAATTTCTCTAGGGTTGGCATGAACCAGGGCACCAACAGGGCTCAGCTCTGAACAAGTCCAATGTCGTGTGATGTCAACACCCACATTTGCTCAGAAAGGGGCCTGCTCATGGCAGCCCAGCTGGTTTTGATAAATGTCAAGTGTCCCTTAAACTTTTTCAGTTACTTCCTATCCCATCAGAGCAAACACCCAAGTTCTTGGAGGGCCACCCAGCCCTGCGAGCCTCTAGCCTCGACTCTCCTCTTCTCTCCCACTATATTCCCCTTGCCCCAATCATTAGTTTGTTGCTTGTCAGGGTCATTTTCATCTTAGGGTCTCACCCTTGAGCTCTCTGCCTGACTTTCCTTTGCTTGTCCTTAGGGTCTCAGTTCAAAAGATGCTTGGTCAGAGAGGTCCCCACTAGTAGTCTATCTTCATCCTCCCCATTGCTGCTTGCTTCAGTTTCTCTCTCGTCTTTATCACAATTTGACATTTCCTCCTTAGCTGTTATCTTCAATAGAAGTTAAGTTCCAAGAGACCAAAAGTTTTTCTCTCTTATCCCTAGTGCTTCATGGATTTCCTAACAGCTCAGGTCATTTTTTTTTTTAAATAAATATTAAATGATGATGAAACAAAACTCCGGAATTTCTGCCTCCATCTAATAATTGAAGGATAAATTCAACAAGTGATTATAGTAAATGTTTATGTACCCAATGCTAGGACACCTGGCTATTTAAAACAGCTGTCAACAGCACTAAAGGGAGACAGACTCCAATATGGTAATATCGAGGGGTTTTTAACACTATTATTAATGGAAAAAATCAAACAAACTCAACAAGGAAATAATAGAGCTTATTGATACCATGGATCTAACCTGTATTTAGAACATATCACCCTAAAGAGACAGAACACACATTCTTTTCATCAGTTCATGCAACTTTTGTTAGGACAGACCATATGATAAACTATAAATCAATCCACAGCAAATTCAAAAGATTTGAATTTACAGCATTCATCTTTTCAGACCACTAGTTAATGAATCTAGAAACCAACAACTCAATAAAACTCTAGAAAATATAGATACATGATGAGTGAAAAAAAAAAACCCACACATTACTGAATGAATGTTGGATCACAGAAGAAATGTAAACGGAAATGAAGAAATTCATAGAAATGGGCCAGTGTGATAGCCTAGTGGCTAAAGTCCTGGCCTTGCACATGCCGGAATCCCAAAGGCTGCTGGTTCATGTCCCAGCTGCTCTACTTCCCCCATACTGCTCTCTGCTTGTGGCCTGGGAAAGCAGTAGAGTATGGCCCAAAACCTTGGGATCCTGAACCCACAAAGGAGACCTGAAGGAAGCTCCTGGCTCCTGCCTTTGGATCAGCTTAGCTCTGGCTGTTTCAGCTATTGGGGAAGGAACTAATGGACAGAAGATCTTTCTGTCTCTTCTCTCTGTAAATCTGCCTTTCCAATAAAAACAAGTAAATTTTTAAAAAATTAATAGGAATATAGGAAGATGACAGCACAGCATATCAAAACTTATGGGATACAGTAAGCAAACCCCCCCCCCCCCCGGGAGTCTCTTTCTGCTACCCTGGCTATGTTGTGTGGCTGAGTGGCAGTAAGTGCCCATAATAAGAAATCTGAAAGGCATCAGATAAATGCTCTATCAGTGCAGCTCAAGGACCCAGGACAACAGTAAACCAAACCCAAAGTTAACAGAAAGAAACAATTAAAATTTGAGAATAAACGAAATTCAAATAAAAAAGCCCTGATACATAAGATCAGTGAAGAGCAGTATTAGTGAAAAAAAAAAAAAAAAAAACCAAATTGATGCATCACTGGACAAATAACCTAAAAAATTATAAAAAGTATGTAGGTGTGTGTGTGTGTGTGTGTGTGTGTGTGTGTGTGTGCATGCACACGTGTTTGGGGGGGTGGTTAGAAGACCCAAATCAATAAAACCAAAGATGAAAAGGGAAAATATTACAACAGACACCACAGATACACAAAGAATCATTAACAAACAGCTATGAGCCAATAAACTGGAAACTCTAGATGAAATGGATAGATTTCTGGACACACACAATCCATCTAAACCAAGTCAAAATAGACAAATGACTAGGATAGACACTGAATCTGTAATACAGACGCTCCCACAAAGAAAGGCACAGGACTGACAGCTTCACTGAATTCTACCAGGCCTTTCAAGAAGAAATAACTCTCACTCCTCACAATCTACTTAAAACAGTACAAAGGGAGGCAGTCCTCTTTCCACCCCTCCTATGAGGCCAACATCATCTTAATTCCTAAACCAGAAAAAGACACAACAGAGAACAAGAGCTACGGGACAATATCCCTGATGAAAACAGATGCAGAAACCCCCAAGAAAATACGAACTGATCAGAGATCTTTTTTTTTTTTAACCATGCATGGAGATCTCAGATCTTATTCTATGATCTGATACCATCAAACTACTGGAGGAAAATGTTAGCGATGCTCTGCAAGATATATATGTAGACAAAGATTTCTTGGAAAAGATTCCCAAAGCACAGGCAATTAAAACAAAAAGAAATAGAATTACATGAAATGAAGATGCTTCTACACTGCC